ACACCAGTAGCTACATGGTCCTGGACCACACCAGTAGCTACATGTTCCTGGACCACACCAGTAGCTACATGTTCCTGGATCACACCAGTAGCTACATGTTCCTGGATCACACCAGTAGCTACATATCCCTGGATCACACCAGTAGCTACATGTTCCTGGATCACACCAGTAGCTACATGTTCCTGGACCACACCAGTAGCTACATGTTCCTGGATCACATCAGTAGCTACATGTTCCTGGACCACACCAGTAGGTACATGTTCCTGGACCACACCAGTAGGTACATGTTCCTGGACCACACCAGTAGCTACATGTTCCTGGGCCACACCAGTAGCTACATGTTTCTGGACCACACCAGTAGCTACATGTCCCTGGATCACACCAGTAGCTACATGTCCCTGGATCACACCAATAGCTACATGTTCCTGGACCACACCAGTAGCTACATGTTCCTGGATCACACCAGTAGCTACATGTTCCTGGATCACATCAGTAGCTACATGTTCCTGGATCACACCAGTAGCTACATGGTCCTGGACAACACCAATAGCTACATGTTTCTGTAGCAGCCCAGTTGTGGAGAATGTTGTTGCATTAGCTGCATGGTCATGGACTCAGATGATGGCTACATGCCCACTGATCCAGTAGTGAGTTTCAAGGTTGAGAACAATGTCTCTACAGTAGGTACAAGGTCACTGTCCACAATGATTGCTAGTAGCTCCAGGGTTGTAAATAATGTTTTCATATAAGCTGCAAGGTAACTGACCACAATGAGGTGAGGTGAGGTGAAATTGGGTTTAACGTCGTGCTTGAGAATATTTCGCTCATATGACGACATGCATGCGTGTGTATGTGTATGTGCGGCTGCTTGTACTAGCCCAGACTTAAGCTGGTTTTATAGTGCTAGCCCACTGAGATACCATGCCGCAGTGAAGCATGAATACCCCACTCAGACACATTATACTGACTCTGAGCCGACCAGTCCTTGTTGTACCCATTAATGCCGAACGCCAGGCAGGGACTAACAAGTACCATATTTTAACGTCTTTTGGGTATGACGTGGTCGGGGATTGAACCCGCGACCTTCCGCTCTCCGACCACAATGAGATGCAGGATTATGATGTACAAGGTATGACATATACAAGGTCGTTGGTCATGGTGTGATATCTACAAGATTGTGGACAACATTTTCAGGCTAACTACAAGGTCACTGAATACAACGTTAGTGACGTTGGCCACAATGACATTTACAACGTGGCTGGCCATTGTGTGATTGCTACATGGTTGTGGGGAACATCTTCAGGCCAACTACACAAACCACAACACTAGTGACATGGTTGACCACAATGGTAGGTTCAAGGCTGTTGAACCTACTGTTATCTATAAGGTCATGGAACATACTGTTACCACAGAATCGTGGGCTCTACATACAGCTACATGTCTCGTTTTCCATTACGATGAGGGGCGGGGGACTGTTCCTCTTTGATAGACAGTTTCAGAGTCTACAGAGAAGCATGCGCTCTACAGTGAGTCATCTACACTATGTAAGGTTGGAATTAATGAATTACTAAATGCTACATTTCTATGATTAGACAAGGTAGTTTATTACGAATTCATGAATAGATTTTATGACTTTGAACCCTTCGAACAACTGGTACTGCGGGTAAAAGGTTTGAAATGCGAAAATTTTCATATAAATTTCAAGATATTTTGTCAAAATTGAACAGGATACAGGTTGATGCAGTGCCTTTCCCTGTCATACAATGAATCAGCCTCCTCAAGACCCCCATACACTAAAGTCATGAGCTGCTCGTGACTAAGTCGTTCAAACACAGCTTTGTTTTGAGGAAAGCTGAATGTAACGCTGGTTTTCGACATTTACTACTTGAGTGAAACACATCAGCATGGTGCTGAGGAACCTAGAAGATCAGAGCATATTGGGATTCAAACCCATCATTGGAGGCCTTCATTTTGTCAAAGGGGCATAACTCTGTGACACAAGTCACTGATGTCAATGATAAGTTGTCATATAAAATAGTTGTGCTTACATAGCTTCAACATCGCTTTGAACAGAATCTGTCTTGAATTGTTTGTCAGCTTGATGTGGGAGGATTGTCATGTAAGCATAATATTTTTTACACCACACAATGGTAATATTTGAATAACTTGTGCGTCATTGACAAGTGCTGTGCAACATTATCATCCAAAAGATTCAATTCGTACAGATAACAGACACCTCTCTCACACACAAGTGCACGAATGAAATGCAAATGACGTATCAAAAGAGATGACTCTTCTGTCTGGCAAGTTAACAATGATGTGACGTAAGTGTTGATGACAGATGTTAGCCATCAGCTGAAGCTGTGCGAGTCAGCTGGGATAAGATTAGTCTGGTTAATGTCATTTGCCCTATACAACAGCATGGCCATGCAATCTACATAGTCTATATGCAATCTATATGCAATCTACATGCAATCTACATGCAAACTACGGCAACAGATTTCACTTTGTCAGTAAACACCTATATAAAATCAATTCCAACCAAAATGAATGAATTCAATCTCGATTTTCAAAATTTCAAGTGCTATAAATGTCCTGTATATCAAAATAGTATCTAAATTAAGATGTATTAATGTTTTCAAAAAAGAGTAATGTTGAGCACATCTAAAAAATTGCATTTCTTGAAATCAATTACCATCCGTAAACCATTCCAAATGCTTCATTTCACCATCTGACAACCAGGATTTTGAACAAATTATTAAATTCTATACATGTTGTTGTCAATCAAAAGAGCAGGTAAAATTGAAGCATTTTTCTATCAACATGCATGGTTAACCAACACCGTCTGAAATCATCTAAATGCACAAGCTCTAACAATGAAAAACAAGAGAAGAGAAGCAAGCATCATTCCAAGATCTTTGCACTTACAAAGCAACAATTTTCAAAACAATATATTCAGTACATATAAAATCAGGGATAATTTATTTTACCGTTACTGATACAGATCTTATATATATTGTCTAATCTAAAGATTACATGTTTTTGACAGTGGCTAGAAGCTCACTGAATGGAAAGTTCTTAAAATGTCTCACCCCAAACTTGGAGACAGACATCAAATTCACACCAACAAAAATCTTTACCAGTCTGATCACACCATAAAAAAGTTATTTAAAGCGTTTACTAGCTCATTCTACTTTATAAAGCACCTACTTCAAAAATTTCTTAAAAAATAAAAGCAAACAAAAACACTGCAGCCAGAAGTCTAAGTTTTGGAAAATATTACGTCCAAAGAAACTTTCCATTGAGGAGCCAAGGTCACCATTTGTATATTACTTACTGGTGGCTCAAGGTCAAACGTCTAGCTGACATTCATTGCGGAAAGGTTGGACAAGCCATGTGCATGAGCGGCAGTGCATTGTAAGTCACAACAAACAATAGTAACCAAATTGTTGCAAGCTGTGTCGGCAAGCAGCGAACTGAAAAAACTGGAGCTGGAACTAAACAAAACAAGCCGGACGGTATCGGAAAAAGGGTAAAAAATCCCAAAAAGGGTAACGACGGATTGTCCCTAAACACTCAAGTCGACGGAAATCTGCAGCGCAATAAGTTCGCATTATATATGTGTACATATTACTTTGCTGGCGCGTATATTTTTAAGGATATAACAAAGCTCCAGAGATTAGGAGCAGTAAAAGGCTCTAGGGGCAGACACGGCCACTAGTTCGTTAGTCCGTGACCAGTAACATTCTCGTTTCATCCTGAATTCATTTATTTCCCACAACCACTAGTCCGAAAGACTAGACCTGCAGACTGGTTGAACTGGCCAATGGTGTCTACCCTTGAGCTCTGGTGTAAGTAGTTTGTATATATGCATATGTTGCAGACATACACAACGTATAATACAACCTGAATTAAATGTATCGCGGTATCCGATGTTAGCGTCCGTGATCGTAGCTTCTTCATACTTGAGTGATTAGAGATAGTCCCCAGTACCGAAGTACTTGAAAACGAAAGGGGAGGATAGAAAGAAGGCGGGTATATTCTGTAGTAGTGTTACTGAGCCAAGGGAGGGAGGAACAGGGGGAAATGAAAAACAATCTGTAACAGAATCATGGTGCAAATCTTTAATCATTGAGGGATGATGACAGGTTGTTCGATGCAGGCAGGACATGATGGTGTTGATATACGATAAGTATGGAGCTTCAAGATGGATGAAATTGACAAAAAATACAAGAACCATCCTTCTGAAATTGATGTTTATTGTGATGATATTGGCAAGCATAGCAACAAGACTTTATTTGTTGTCATAGTTACCATATTTAAAGAAACCCTTCAGAAAAATTATAATAATATTAATATTTGTTTTTGTCAGTGATAAATATGTGTGTATATTTCTTGAGCAGATTTATAACTTTTTAAGCTAAAATAGTTTGACAAACTCTTTGACGATGAGACATGACAAGCACTGAAACAAAACATACGCAGCTACAGAACTGCACTACACAACACAACACTACACAACACTAGGCAACACTACATTCCATTGTGCATGAAAGACACAACAAACAGTGGTGATGACGGCAGCAGGCTGGACGATGGACGAAGAGGGCTGCACATGCTGTAGGCAGACGAACGGCTCCATGCAGGGTTATATAGAAACCTGCAGTGCCGGGAGTCAGGGTGCATGTACATGCTAGCTACACATGCCAAACAATGTGGGAGTTATTAAAGTCTTCTGAAAGAAACAATGGGATGAGTGTTCTCATTCATATCTTCATTCACGCAGCCTTTCTCACTCAACTGCTGGTCAGTTCATGCCTGGTATGGACGTGTGTAGGGAATCTCAAATCCAAAGGCATTTTCTCTTGTATTGTTTCAACACACTTATCTGTTCTAAAGATATTTTGAACGTGTTATCACATAGCGTCCATACTGTGCAAAGAACAAGCAGCATACACAACTATAGAGAGAAGTTGTGGTGACAGAGAGTGGCACAGTACCTTTGCCTCTCGGATGTACTGTCCGCCATGACGGTTCACAGCCTCGATCTGGTGACGGCGTTCCCCAAGGGAGTTGTAAATAGACTGAAATATAACATGTAGAGGGATGAGAATGTTGATATCGTTTCTTTATCTCAGAGAGCTGATTTCTCACCGCTTTCAGTGGTAATTTAGTTTTATCTTAATCTTAGCTTGTGGGAGGAAACCAAAAATGATGCAGAGTTGCGATATTTTACTCTTACACGTACATGCATATGGTGATTGTGAACTGAGAAAGAAAAAAAAGATTCAAACAAACTATTTCTGATTCATTAAATAATTCCAGATAAGTTGTGTTATTGGTTGGTTGATACCATATTCATCAATATTCCAGCTGTATGACAGTTGTCTCTAAACACTCAAATCAGTTCCTGAGTTTTTAAACAAGTCAGTCTATAGATAGGGGACTCACCATGGTAGGTTCCAGCTGTTGCTTGACATGGTCGACGTTGTCTGACAGGAGGGGCTGTGCCTCGATCTTGGTCTGCATCTGGCCGACCCATCGCTGCTCTCCAGTCAGCCCGTTGTGGTACAGGGAGGCCAGGTCTGAAGACGTGTCCAGACTCCTTAGTCTGGAACATACAACATCATGTGGAACACTTCCTTGCAGAGAGCTCAGGTCACAAATCAGTTGAAGTTAAGCAACGTCGAGCATGGAGAGTTCTTGGATGGGTGAGCGTGTTTGGCAGCTCAACTCCTGAGAGTTTCTAGGACTTCAGTCCTGACCTACAACGAAGTACATGTGATACATGTGGTCTCACTTTAGGCAAGTGAGTTTGTAAATAATTGCCTGTTTTCAGAAGAAAATGGGTACCCCGGTGGGATAAAGTCATGTGACTATAACCTTCTAGCGCCTAACGGCAGCTTGGGTTATCCGAGGTAATAATGTGCTGTTCTCTGATTGTTAGCGATATGGGCATACCTAGTGTGGAGTTTGGCGCGCTATATAAATGGACACACTATTATTAATATTACTGGACATTCAGAATTGGTAGTTGTTAACTTCACTCTCCAATAATCCAGACATCTGACTGTCACTGAGGTAAGATCACACGCTGTCAACCAAGACGAGTCTGATTAGGTGATCAATCTATTTGGTGGCCATTAAATCCAATGTGACTGGCATTTCAAGATATATCATACCAGGATTTATAGTCTAGAGCATGTAGAACTATGTATACAAGCTTATATGTTTTAATAAAATGTCATAGGTCCCATTACCAAACCATATTGTAAACAACAACGCAGAAACAAAGTCATATTCCCATACACCATGAGCCAGTTTACAGCATCTCACCTCTCCACCACTTGTATGCAGACATTGTCCCAGCGCCCGGTGACCTCATCGACATCCTTCTCCATGGACTCCACGTCGTGGTGCTGCATCACACCTGGGCGACTGTGTTCGGTCAGGGAACGCAGCTTCACCACCTCCCGCTTCAGGGAGTCGACATGGGGCTGCTTGGTCTGGATGGAAGACTGTAGATCCTGGAGATGGAAACATGGATGTGGAAATGTGGAAGTGCAATATGGGGAGTGGAAATGTAAAAAAATGTGATAACAGCACAGATAACCGAAAGCAGTGTTCGAAACAAAGCATAATCTTCAAGGGGTCCTTCGATTTTATTCTTTATCTTTGTGACAACCTAACGTATAGAACTGAATATTTCAGGGGTCCTTAGAAACAAATACAACAACAGCAAACGTCAAGGACATTGTAAAGTTATGGAAAGAGTAATTATTTGCAAAAAAGGCTTTCTACATTCTTCATTACGCTCTTTGGAATCAGACCAAGAGGTTAGCTAGTCAATTATTAACTAAAGCCAGCTCAACTGATAATCAGTTGTTATTTTCACAGGTGATCACCATTTAAAGCTGCATTCTACAACAACAATATTACTGAAATCAATATGGTCCTGTTGTAGCATCCCCTTTGATTTAATAGCATCAATGCCAGCAATATTACATTTCAACTTTCAACATACCACCAGTTCCTCTTTTGTATTGCGAAGACCCTGCATGTCAGAGGTCATGTTGTCGTGTGAGGCCAGTGTAATCTCATAGTCCGACACTAGTTGCTTCACTTCGTCAAGACTCGAAACCACAAGCATGGCACTCTTCATTCTGGAGGAAGACAAGTGAACATGAAATGAAAACAGTGAAGTTAACAAGACATCAGGACTTTGGACTCCCAGAACTGTAACATTTTAGGTAATAACACATCATCTCATTCGTATAAAGACTTCTGACTTCATCTCCTAACACTGTAAGCACAATTTAGTTCACATTACATGCAAATTGTTACTCCGAGTCAAATATTATATCAACAGAATGTATCATCTTTGTCACAACCTTGAATTATTTGGTTCTCTCACCTATCTACATATATCTGTGAAATTGCTTTAAGCTGGTCACATTTCTGGACCACAAGATTGAGGCGGGATTCAATCTGGGATGTTTTTGGCGAGATGTTCTGGTACGTCTTCTGCAGACGATCAACATCCCGTTCATGGCTCTGTAGTTCTCTGTCAAATTCCTGCAACACCAAAAACAAGTGTTGGTGTGTGGCACACAAGGCACTATTCACTGGTTCGCCTAGTGGCCCCCAGTCATGAAGTGTGTTTTGTGTTTATCTGTCATTTATATGAAGGAAAAATACATTGCTGACAGAGCCAATATGAGTTAACTCCCCTTGTTCACTTTTGATGACACCATTCCGTTTCCGAGTAAGACAAATGGCAAATATTTTCAGGCATGAGGATAAAAACATGCACACCTTGCCGGACAAGTGGTAAAATCATTATAATTAACCTCGGGAAACATTAAGAGACAAGCAGACGGCTGTGTAGTAGGTTAGAAAGACCATACAAGACAAAAATACTAACATAAGCACAGACTATCTTCGCATGTTTTTATCAAACTATTTATACACATTACAAGGGTTGTATGTTGTTGTAGCTTGATGTGATGTAATTGATCTGTGAACATGACAAGTGTTGTTTACCTGATGTGAGGTAAGAGATCTGTGAACATGACAAGTATTGAATACCTGATGTGAGGTAAGACTGACTGACTGACTGACTGAGTTTGGTTTTATGACGCTTTTAGCAATATTCAGCAACATCACGGCAGGGAACACCAGAAATGGGCTTCACACATTGTACCCATGTAGGGATTCGAACCTGGGTCTTCGGCGTGACGAGCCAACACTTTAACCACTAGGCTACCCCACCGCCCCGTGAGCTAAGAGATCTGTGAACAGCATCAGTGTTGTTTACCTGATGTGAGGTAAGAGATCTGTGAACATGACAAGTACTGATTACCTGATGTGCGGTAAGAGATCGGTGAACAGCGTCAGTGTTGTTGTGGATAGGCTTGTTGAGGAGGGTGGACAGTTGCTGGTCACACTGACCCAGGTTGCGGTTCACCTGCTCCAGCTGCTGCAGGAAGCTCTGTGATGCCGACTGACTCAACTTGGACTCTGTAACAAAGAACAGCTTGATGCAGAACCGAGGATGACACTTCACACTACAGACCTATTGCTGAGGCATGATAAGGTCCTCAGTCATTGCTGTTCATATGTCACAGAGGTTAGGTGATCTGTGTGGAACAGAACCTCAACCAGCAAGACATGCCATCATTCATCCGCTGAGCTAACCCCTAACTTTGTTTGCTTGTTGGTTTAAGACTGCACTGAGCCATATTCAAGCTGCATTATAATAGTCTGTAAATAATCAGGACCAGACGATCCAGTGATTGATGTTATAAACAGCAATTAATATCACTGGCAAGTCACTGGCCATCTGCTTGCTTCTTACAAGCAAAAAGCGTAGGGAGTCCTGTACCATCCCAGAAGATCGGTCAGTGAAGTACTCTACACAACTTGTCAACTTACCATCTGCTGCTGCCTGAGATGAGAGGTTGAGGAAGATCTGGTTACACTCCTGAAGATCATGTCGGAGTTTGACCATCTGGGGGTCAGAATCTCCACTCTCGGCCAAGAGCTTCTCCGCATCCTGTCTCAGTGCCTGCCATATGGCTACACGCTGGGAGGGGTCAAGGGCACGGAACTGGAACAGCATCAGGGATTGGTAAGAGTAATCACAGTCTTGATTGATGGAATACTACCTTCTGCATGTCATCAAAAAGATTAAAAAGAAGTATTACGTCTTCACTGATATGATGTTAAACTTGTGCTCTTCTTGCTTTCTGTATAAAGGAATACATTGCTGAATGGGTCAAGATGAATCACAATAATCAAACCCCTGATGACGTCGAGTTTGGACATAGTGAGTGAGTGAGTTTAGTTTTAAGCCGCTTTTAACAATATTCCAGCTATATCACGACGGGGGACACCAGAAATGGGCTTCACATATTGTACCCATGTGGGGAATCGAACCCAGGTCTTCGGCGTGACAAACGAACGCTTTAACCACTAGGCTACCCCGCCGCCCTGGTTTGGACATAAACAGATGGCCTTATGTGATACTGTAAAGGAACTATACTGTGTACAGAATCCTAATATTTCCATTTGTTCCAAACTAAATCTTTCAATCAAAACAGTTACAAAGAAAACAAACCCTTTAAACATGAAATCCCAAATATAACACCTGTGTATGACTACATACAATTAATGATGAAAATAGGGTTTGGAGATGAATGGAGTCTGCAGATTCAGTATGATTTGTTTGTTGGTTTGTAGTTTTATGTGTCAGCATTGTATAAATAATCAAGTCTGGTTCAAACCAATCTGAGTATTTTGAGCAGTGTCACAAGCTGTCTTGTACAAATGGATCCCAATTCAACACACCTGACAACCCGATCCATTCAGTCACCTCATATGACAAGCAGGTTGTTGTGTGCGTGTGAGTGTAGTTTTATGCCGCTTTTAGCAATATTCCAGCAATATCACGGTCGGGGGGACACCAGAAATGGGCTTCACACATTGTACCCATGTGGGCATTGAACCCAGGTTTTCGCGTGATGAGCGAACGCTTTAACCACTTGGCTACCCTACCGACCCCTGAGGCTGTGGCAAACAAATTGTAACCCGGACTCGCCATGGGGCTTCTGCTTGTTCACTAAGTTACCTGTTTGAGGTCCCATCCCTTGACAATCTCTATCGTGGCAAGCACCATTCCCTTCCTCATGTTGCGCTGCTGGGTGAGACACAGAGACAACAACTTCTCCAGCTGCGACTTCAACCTGAGAACAATCACATCATGGCAAGCATTAGTAGTGAGTGAGTTTAGTTTTACACTGCACTCAGCAATATTCCAGCTACATGAGGCGGTCTGTAAACAATCTAGTCTGGACCAGACAATCAAGTGATCAACAGCATGAGCATTGATCTACGCAATTGAGAACTGATGACATGTGTCAACAAAGGCAGCGAGCCTGAACACCCGATCCCGTTAATCTCCTCATAAGACAAGCATGGGTTACTGAAGATCAATTCTTACCTGGATCTTCATGGGTGTAAGCATTAGTAGCGCCAATAACTATCACCTACAATTATGTAAGAGGGCTCCAACAAAAAAGAAACATCTGACTGATTTTGAGAATACACTTCCTGGTATTTCCTATCCTAATTTTAGTAGCTCTAGTCAATGTCATAAATTATCAGAATTGATGTTGAGTCAACCATTTCATTCACCTGAAATATAATGATTTCTCGACCAATGAAACTTATGGATATCCTTGTATTATATTACATAAAATGACGATAACATCATAACATAGAATATGTGGCAAGTCTAGAATAACTCGGTAATAAAGTCTCTGGACTCCTTTTCATTATATTTTATTATTATAATTTAGGTACCGTTTCTTCTGTAAAATCTGTTGAGTGAGTGAGTTTAGTTTTACGCCACACTCAGCAATATTCCAGCTATATGGCAGTGTAAAATCTGTTGATGTCAGTGACTAGATGTCAGCCTACTGTGTCACGTGTTGTACCTGTTTGCATAGTCCAATGCTTCTTGGTTTGGTGGTGGGATGATGAAGCACACCGATGGCACCGTCGATTCTTTACCCACAGCCGTCCGCACCTGGGGTAGGGGAGGACATATATTACAATCTCATTATATCTGTTACATAGATTTATTACCTACGAGGGCGAAAATACCGGGGTTCATATTTTTCATACGATGCCCTAGGGCAAAATATCACTTTGACATGAACAATGCTATGACGTCACATTTCTTCTATGACGTTGCATTCTACGTGCGGCGACGGCGGGTAGCCAGCCTATGTTTGAAAGTAGATTTATTTTCCTCAATTTGATGACTTTGGTAATAAATAGAATATCATATTCATGCTCATATCATACTAAGTTTACGACACTCGTGCCTAAATATCGGTATATCCCTCGTTTTCGTTCGGGAAATACCAACATTTAGGCACTCGTGTCGTAAACAGCATGACATGGGCACTCATATAATATCCTCTATATATTATAGAAATTTTCCACTGATATTTTCATTTCCATGAAGAGAGTAACAATAGAATGGACATTTTTGCTTTGTTAAATATGATCAATTCAAGACCAATTACCTTCCATTTCAGAGGATCGGAATTGCTCAATAAAACACACTCTTCTCCCTTCTGGAAACTCAGCTGCAATAGAAGAGTGATATAAACTTAAATACCTCACACAAGTGACTAAAATCTGTTCGTAAAGGCAAACATAATGCACTTAAATGAGATCATAGGTCAAATAAGAAGAATGAATAAGTACTGTCAACAAGAACAAAAACAGATGCATTTGTTTTGATTAAGACAAGATTTTAGAAAAATCGTAAAAGCATGTGAGTGCATAATTTGAAAGATCTGGCCATAACTATTTGACAAATCATATCAGCTCACCTCTTCTTGGTGGTATGTGCAGATTGATCGGATGCGGACCGGGTTGAACACAGGGCGGTTCCTCTGAAGAAGGGGGACAACTTCCCGACTGCGTACCATCAGGGATGAGGTGTGGCGCTCGTAGTCATGGAGACGGTCCTGCATCTCCTGCAAAGAAAAGCAGGTGATTAACTCCTACATCTCCACATCTTGCTTCAGAGAGTGAGTTGGTCTGACTCGCCGTCCCTGAACTCTATTAAGTTTCCTTTAAATCAGCCCTTACTGTAATGCTATAGTTCTAACTTTAGTAACATTTTCCACAGGTTCCAAGTTGCAGTACCATATCAATGAACGACTTGCATTCTGAGGAGCTTTTGCTAGTTTGCCATGATGAGCTTATGCTAATCCACCTCCCTCTAATATGAGGTGAGGTGAGGTGAGGTGAGGTGAGGTGAGGTGAGGTGAGGTGAGGTGAGGTGAAATTGGGTTTTAAGTTGTGCTTGAGAATATTTCGCTCATATGACGACGTGCATGCGTGTGTATGTGTATGTGCGGCTGCTTGTACTAGCCCAGACTTCAGCTGGTTTTATAGTGCTAGCCCACTGAGATACCATGCCGCAGTGAAGCATGAATATCCCACTCAGACAAATTATACTGACTCCGAGCCGACCAGTCCTTTTTGTACCCATTATTGCTGAGCGCCAGGCAGGGACCAACAAGTACCATATTTTAACGTCTTTTGGTATGACGCGTCGGGGATCGAACCCGCGACCTTCCGCTCTCCGGGCGGACGCTCTAACCACTACACCACGGAGGCGGTCCCCTCTAATATGAAGAATTTCATACCATGTCACAATACACGTCATGTACATACCTCCAGCTCTCGAAGCAGATGTTCTGCCTCCTCTCCTGGGAGCATGCTCCGTGCGTATCGCTTCTGTAGATGTTCCGTCTGACGCATCATCCACTGCTCACACTCTTGCCCCTCCTCGAAAAACTGGGAGATAAAATACCAAGATTTACTGATGAGGTACTTGGTATATATATCTTCAAGTATTACCCTGAAAAATTTGCCCGTCAATAGCGCTCTGGTCAAGGAATGTCACAGACTTAATTGTCATATTTGTTTCTTTGTTATCTTAATGCAGCACTTTTTCCTGCTATATGGTCTGTAAATAATCTGGACCATACAATCCGTGATCAATGGCATTAACATCGGTCTACACAATTGGTTACTTGTCACAACGAAAAGTAAGACCTTGTTAAACCAAAACAAGGATTGGTAATCATTCCTGTAACCTATCACAACTCAATTCCAACTGTTAATACAGATAAAGATTCCTAAATAAATATCAACCGAAAGATATTAGTGTGCATAAGTTTAAGTATATTTGCTCTATCATTTAGTCAGAATTTCCAATTGGTGGGTCTCAATATCCTTGAGAGTTTTCAAAACAAACTGGAATGAATTAATAACAATTTCATTCCTCTGTTATCATCCATGGCATTTTGTCTATGTACCTGATTAATTACTAGGCATGGCTGCTAACCTTGTGCTAACTACTAGGGGTGACTATTGAGGGGGAAACAACTATTGCGATAGCGATAGTCTATTAAGACCCACTATTGCAATACTATCGCAATAGTTTTTTCTCTCCTTGAATTGTCTCATTTGAAGCCATTTCCAAAATGAATGTATAGTTTATACGAAATAAAAACAAGTTGAAGTAGTTTCAGTCTCTTTTAATGAGTGACAAGAAACTTGAAACCCAAATCAAGTTAAAGCATAAACTCAGTGAAGCTGCAAGTCTGCACCCAAACATCCTGTATTTTGAGCTGCCCATTTATCAACGGAAGTCAATTACTCAACTATCAATAGTCACACATACTATAAATGGATTGATAGTTTTTCGTTTCTAACATCAATTAATTGCTATCGGAGACTCATTGCAATGCACCGATAGTTCGAAGCATCGTTACAGTCCTACTAACTACCATTATAAAATAACTTAATCTTTTGTATTAACAGACTAGAGAACTGTGAGCTTTTTTAAACACTTAAAAGGGGACTACGCTCAATGTTCAGCTTGTGTCTGGACATCATGACATCACAGTGAACAAGTAACAAGTGTACCTGTTGATGTACGGTGGCGTGCTTGAGGTGCTGCTCCAAGCACGCCGTCAACTCCAACAGCCAGGACCACTGAGACTGCAACGTGGCCATGTAAGCCTGCAACACGGATAAAACTTGGTCACCTGGTTCTAAATAGGAACATTGTCACAAGTAATAGGACTGACTGACTGACTGAGTTTGGTTTTACACCGCTTTTAGCAATATTCCAGCAACATCACGGCGGGGGACACCAGAAATGGGCTTCACACATTGTGCCCATGTGGGGATTCGAACCCGGGTCTTCGGCGTGACGAGTCAACGCTTTAACCATTAGGCTACCCCACCGCCCCCACAAGTAATAGGAACATTATGGTGTTTCATGTATGCATGCAACATTTATATATCAAACACTGACACCAGGCTCTCAATTATGTCCTAAACACATATATATGAATCTTTTACTATTCTCAGGTTAACATCAAGAAGCTGAAACATGAAGGCAAACAAGCAAACAAATTCTCACCTCAACAGTCTTAGCTGCAGGATGTCTGTCTAGAATCATAGCGCCACCTCGCTCCTGTACAGCGTTGAACTGGGACTCGCGGGACTCAAGCTGTCTCACCAGGCCCTGAAACACAAACAAATTATAAACTACACGTTTCTTGATTTTCATGATCCGCTTAAATACTATAGTCTAAGAAGACTTACACATGCTCTGAACATGTAAGCAAAAAAAGTCATCCAATTTATATTGTCCAAACAAGCATGTTATATTTCGGAAAATGCCAATGAATTTCCATCATGAATGACCATGTTGAACGTATTCTGACGAAACATAGGTTTAGATACATCTTCTAAAATTCTTCATTTTATCTTTCACTAATCATACTTTTGTTATGATAAGTTATAATTAGTAATTGCACGCTACTTTAAATATATATATAAACATTTTCCTGAACGTTGACCTGAAAACTAATTATCACTTTGATAAAAGCCTGAGATGTTGGAAGTTGTTTGATTAGATGTTTCTGTTTCATATCCGACTTTGATTGGTCCATCATGTTGGCTGATTGACATCAGTGTTATTAGTTAATTCTTCTTCTCCAATACAATTCAAGTTAAAGACCTTGTACTAACTGAGTTTGTTTTTACGCCGCTTTTAGCAATATTCCAGCAACATCACGGCAGGGGGCACCAGAAATGGGCTTCACACATTGTGCCCATGTGGGGATTCGAACCCGGGTCTTCGGCGTGACGAGCCAACACTTTAACCATTAGGCTACCCCACCGCCCCTAAAGACCTTGTAAGCACTGAGGACACACTGATTATTATTGTGCTGACACACCATGAATAATTATCAAGGTCTGAACCCAAGATCAGCAGATCCTGACACATTAAGGGATGTAACTCCACACATCAGACTGTAGAGATTAATTCACCTTGTTATCTAATGTGGAGAACTAACATTGAACCTACCCTGTGTTGTTCGTCGACTTCCCCGATGTTGATGTTGCGACTGCCCCAGTCTCGGGTCGTCTCCTCACCCTCCTTCTGTCCGAGCCACACCAACTCTGCCGTGGCCAACTGGATGAAGTCGTGTAGTGATTCCAGGCACTTCTGACGGCGTACGGACGTGTTCTAAAGACATAAACCAAATGCTGATATATATTTTCCAGGCACTTTGGATGTGCTCTAAAGACATAAATTAAATACTGACATATTTTTGGTAAAGTTAATATCATGTTTCTCTGAAAACTGATGAGGGGGATTTCAGAAAGTGACTGAAAATACACGAACTGTTGAATGGCAATATGGCACCCACCGTTAACAGGGAGTAAGCCACTTCAGCTTTGGAAAGAGTCTGGGTGTAAAGCTTTTGTTCTTCAGATGAAAGACTTCGCTGAAAACAAAATTGGCTAGCATTAGTGATATTCAGTTTACATGAGTAAGCAATACCTTGCTATGAATGGGACAAGTAATATTCAGTAAACAGCCTTAACAAGAATAAACTACTCTTAAAGAGATACTACAGTATTAAAACAATATTAAGAATATTGAAAAGAAAATATGACTGAAGCACCTCAAGAACACTTTTAACAATCTAAATGTGATTTGGTATACACTTTTAATGCTGAACTCCCCAATTGATTCCGGGGCAGAGTAATTCCTCGTTACTCCATGCCTTTTGCATGACTAAATGGAGATTGGTTGGACACTATGTGTGACCTGGTCAAATATGTTGTCATAAACTGATGGCAATGCTCATGATATTAACCACTAGTCTGCCTGGCTCACATAGTTACAAGTTTCAGCTATATAACTGTCATGTTGCAAACTGACGAGCACAGTCTTTCAGAATGACCAAACTGAGAGAACCTACCCGGTCTGCTATACACTGGTCGATCTGGGCCCGGAAGCTCATGATGTCCTGGTGGACCCGTTGGTGGGCCTGGAGGAGGGTCTGGATACGGGACAGTTCATTGTGGTACTCGGCTGACTCGAGGGATTGCTGAAACAGGGGCATATATATGTGAGTGGGAGAGTGTAGTTTTACACCGCTTTTGGCAATATTACAACAATAGCATTTCAGGGGACACCAGAAATGGGATTTAACCGACTAAAAGTCACTTGGTTGCATGCTTGTCAACATATCTCATGGATAAATACTCATGACATCAATGGCTGGGCCTAGATTTTTGACTGACTGACTGACTTAGTTTGGTTTTAAGCCGCTTTTAGCAATATTCCAGCAACATCACGGCGGGGGACACCAGAAATGGGCTTCACACATTGTGCCCATGTGGGGATTCGAACCCAGGTCTTCGGCGTGACGAGCCAACACTTTAACCATTAGGCTACCCCACCGCCCCACCTAGATTTTTGAAGCTCTCTTAGCGCTAAGATAGTCGTTAGTTAATGTTAATGTATGGCACTTGCGACTATCTTAGCGCTAAGAGAGCTAAAAAAATCTAGGCCCTGGATTGTCCTGGTCCAGGATCAGTTAATTACAGACTGTTGTCACATTGCTGGAATACTGTAGACAACAATTTCATGACAGCAATAGTACACGAGGTCAGTAAATCAGATACATATATCCGGGCCATATTCCGAAACTTGACCTTGACCTTCATGATCACACACCTGCTTCTCCTCGATCCAGTCTAGACAGTCCTGTAAGTGTTTGAAGGCGGGGTTAGTGTCCACCATCCGGACCTCTGTGATGACCTCTTTCCTCTTGGTAATGGTGCGGCCCTCCTCCACGTACGACCTGGACAGCAGCCGCTGCACCACTTTGCTGTATAGTTGTGTGCGTAGGTGCGACACACGTGTCTGTAGGTCGGATACCCTGCAGGGTAGACAAACAGATTTTATATGTAACATGTTTTAGATACGAGGAGTTAAAATACTCAAGAAATAACTGTGAGAAACTGATGGACAACCTCAAAAATCTCAATTTCAATGGCAGCACTTTCTACGACTACAAATGGACTACGGGTTAGAAGTTGCAAATGCATGATTTTTTTAGACTTTTGTGTCTTAATATCTGCATGACCTATCCATAATGAGCTAAGTATGATAGATAACACAGACATATATCTGTTATACGATTATCCACGTCTCATGCATACATTGAAAGATTCGGTTTCAAATCTGATCCTCACCTCCTGTAGATTTGATCTGCCTGGGGATATCGGCCATCTTGTAAACTGTGAATGTCTCGGAACAGGTTACGAATGTTGTCCTCAATAGTCTTGATGGACCGGTCAATTGCATCACAGTTACGCTTGGCCTCGAAGGGGTGTATCACATCCACCCTCCTCTCCTCCTCTGCCACCTTCCTCTCCAGTTCACTCAGTGTGTCCTCGTTCATCTTGGACTCCCGGTGGACCTTCTCCGCTACTCGCTGCAGTCGCTCCAACCTGATAGAAATGTTATAGTCATTATGTACATCACTACTTAGATCACAGCTGTCATCATCATGATCATCATTGTCGTCATCAACATCAGCAGCAGCAGCAGCATCGTCGGTATCATCATCGGTGTCGTCGTCATCATCATCAGCAGCAGCAGCATCGGTATCATCATCATCATCGTCGTCGTCGTCGTCATCAACATCAGCAGCATCGTCGGTAGCATCACCATCATTGTCATCATCAACATCATCATCAGCAGCAGCAGCAGCATTATGGGCATCATCATCATAGTCATCATCAGTCATTTTTTTTAGGATATCCCCATTCTGATCACAATCAGGTCTATCATTGTTATGGTCATCATGATTATCATCAAAATCATATTTCTACTCACCACCATCAACTTCATTATCACTATCATCATCAACACTGCCATAATAACAATCATTATCACATATCATACCCCGAATATAGAACCCAAATGTGTGTGGATCACCTGGGTACTGACCAGACTTGCAGAGAGCCTTGAACATTGAATCCAAGTCTATCTCGCTCCCCTAAGTATCAAATTCTACCTCACCATACTCACCAAAGTTAGAACCCCAGAGTAAATGGTTCATGTGAGAACAGACCCAACTCACAGAGAGCCTTGAATATAGAATCAAAGTATATCTCACCTGAGTATCAATCTACATCTGAGTACCCCTGAATAGAAAGCCCTAGTGTATAGCTCACCTGAGTATCAATCTACATCTGAGTACTCCTGAATATAGAACCCTATAGCTCACCTGAGTATCTCTGCTTGGAGGGCCATGTCTCTCTCTTGCTGGGCAGAGACGAATCTGCTCCACAGTCGGTTGATATTGTCTGGGCTAAATTCCTCCTCTATCCCTGGATGGGCAGAGTCTGTGGAGAGGTGCTGCAACACAAGGAAAAAATGGTTTCCATCATCCATTAACATTGCAAAGATTATTTTTCATAATCTGATAAGACACCATGTGACACAACAGAAAGGCTTATCTATTATCTTATCCTAAAATGTCACTTTCAGAAGTAATTACAAAGTGAATTCTCCGTAAATAGCCATTGTTCTCAAAGTGATTTCATAATGCAGGAAGGTTCATGCATGATGATGGGTCAGTTACACATGGCACCAGTATTTACCTGTATTTCTTCCCACAGTTTTAGGAGCTTCTTTCTTTGTTCCATTCTCGCTGGGAAATCTTCTAGACGGAATCTATTGAAGTCGGTCAGCAAATTCTGCATAAAAAACAAATATATATAAACAGTGTTGCAAATCTAAAACATAACAATGAATTATGATATTTATGAATGTCAGGTTCAAGACAGTGTTTGGTTATTGTTTATTGTTTCTTAACGTTGCAATATTTCAGTTATTTGATGTTAGTCTTAAAGATCTTTACACGAGACAAAATGAATAAGCCAGCATGGTTTTACATAACTCTGAACAATATCAACAAAATCGGCCTCAACCATTGCACCCATGTAGAGAATCAAACTCTGGCATTTGGTATGGTGATCAAATACCTTGTCTACAAGGCTCCCCTTGCACTCATTAAGAATGAAAATTTACATGTTTGCCAGTACTTTATCATACTGGATCTCATGAAAGAACTTGCTACTTGATCAATTTTGTCTGTGGTGAAGATTTACAATAATGGCAGACATTAAACGTACCTTGAGCTCCATCAGGGTGCCTGGGAAGGAGCGGTCGAGCATCATGTTGGTTGTGGGGGTCAGCCAGGACAGCAGGGCGGTGGCCAGGTCGCGGTACTCCTCCACCTTCAGCTGACGCTCCTACACAGCAACAACACACAACAGCATAAACACACAACAGCATCAACACGCAACAACATCGAAAGACAATTAAAGGGCAACCACTGTGAAGTCAGCTGAAGTCGCAGTCCTAGCGAGTTTGATCTAATTCCTTCAAACATACTTTTAGTGGGTACTAAATAAAAAAAAGAAATTCAATTAACTGTTAAAATACATACATTTTTTTCTTAAACTAATACAGAATCATAGAGCTAGATTTTTGTTAAGACAACCTGTTCCCTCAACCATAATGGATGAGTGAATGAGTTTAGTTTTATGCCGCACTCCAGCTATATGTCAGCAGTCTGTAAAAAATCTAGTCTGGATTAGACAATCCAGTGATCAACAGCATGAGCAATCTATGTAATTGGGATGCAAGACATGCGTCAACCAAGTCAGCGAGTCTAACATCCCAATCCCATTAGTCGCCTCTTCGTACGGCAACCATGGGTTACTGAATAATTCTAACCCGCATCTTCACGGGTCCATAATGGATGAACAGAGGAAGTACATACATTGTCTCTGAGAGACTGCTCGACTGTGGGGACTTGTGGGAAGACATCGTAGAGGGAGGAAACGTAGGTCAACACAGACTTGTCATCAGGTTCAGGTACATCCACATCTGAAGATACAAACTCCATATTAGTATGCAGTACATATACACTTGGCGACTGCGATGGATGCTAAGACCTTTCAAATGAAATCTTAAACTGAACAAAAACAATTCTTGAATGGAAAAGAATTCAAATTGAATACTAATTTGACAAAGCTAGACGGACATGCTTTTTGGAGCCTATTGACTTGGTTGGAGGCCCATGACTGAATCAAATGCATGTATACTCATTCTGCTTAGGACTAATTATAATAAACAGTGAGTGAGACAGTTGTGTGGGATCATATTGTTATTGACTGAGAAATGGGGGATTTTGGGTTGTGAAACTGATGGAACAATATTGCTGTGGTACCAATATGAGAATCTCCAACAAGGACATCTGGGCACTATCTGTAGATTTGCTTTCTCTCAACTGGCTGGGTGTTTATCCTGTTGTATTGTGAGTTAGTTAGCAATGCAACACAAGTTTGCCTTTGGAAACATTCTCTTTGAAGCCTTGATGGCTGTTTGGATAATACCTGCAATGTTTATATTGGTGCAGAAAAACATGAGTGAGTGAGTGAGTGAGTGAGTGAGTGAGTGAGTGAGTGAGTGAGTGAGTGAGTGAGTGAGTGAGTGAGTGAGTGAGTGAGTGAGTGAGTGAGTGACTGAGTGCAATGTTTATATTGGTGCAGGCAAAGAGTGAGTGAGTGAGTGAGTGAGTGAGTGAGATAGCTTCTGATATTCAAAGTATAGAATGTGGGATTTCTTCACGATAATAATATTCCTCACTAAACGTAATATTTTAGATATCATATTTTTTTATATAAAATGAATCAATCTCTTTTAAATCCTGAAAGTGTAGATGAAAAATGATCTTTACTTATGTCAGACGAACTTGATCTTAACAGATGCATCATCTCACCACAGGATGCTGATAAACATCATGATACATTAACCTGACAAATAAACATCTCAGATGGAATGAAAAACTAACTCATCCAATTACATCAATTTCCGTGCATCAATTACTTGCAAGAATTACCACAGACATATATATTCCTCGTACATTCCATAAAAAGTTCCCCTGCCAATTACACTGACTACCACTATGGGTACAGTATGGCATTTGGACCGATACTGCTGCATTAGCACTGGAATGGCACGAAACAGAATCAGCTATCGAACAACTGGATATTTATGAATCATGCCGGAGATTATGAGTATTATAACTGTATCAGATCAGATTACTGAAGAGTGAGTCGGTAAGTAAAAGAGTGAGTACAAATTCATAAATGAGTGTGCAAGTGAGAAAGAGTGAGTGATAGTAGTGTTCCCCCTAGGATTCAGAAAGGGCAGGGTAACTTAAACAAAAAGGGCACTTCATAATCTAAAAGGGCACTTTGGTGAGGATTATTGAAAAAATAACAATAACAAAATGTATATGAAGTCAAATGCTCTTATAATTTTACTTCTAAAGTCCATTTATTACTCTTCTCATTTTGTATTTTAAGATCAAAATTTGAGAAAAAAGCATTTCAAGACATTAATATGTTGTCACATTTGTTTACAATTTCACAAAACATGCGAACAACAATTTACAGTCTTCTTTTCTTTCTTGCCAAGCATCTGTTCACAACTTTTTTCAAGTCAATGTCTGAAACTGACGATGCATTCAGGCTAATTATGAGAAGTCTGTTGCAATTTTGAACACTGAGTCTGTTTCTATGATCTGTCAAAATCAGTTCACTTTTGAGAACACTCTCTCAACTTCAGAAGTTGACAATCACAGTTGCATGAATGGACAGTAATTTAACAATGTTTGGATTCAAGTTTCCAAGTTGAGGCTTGAGTCTTCAAAACGGTGGAGGGTGAACTGGTGTCAAGCTCCTTTACTTGACTCCACTCAATCTGTGTTTGGTCGACATTAAGTCCATTTCTGCCCTTGGTGTTCCACTTAGAACATAATGAACAAAACATCATTCCCTTCTTTTTGTCATCTTCTGAGTACCTCGACTAGGGACGGTTTTGTTGCCACTTTGTGTCAAATGCAGCCTTGTGACCACCATCTTTCTTCTGTGTTGGATTAACTGACTCTGTCTCGTGTGCCCTTGAATTTTCATAGGAAACTACCTCTGACTCGTCCGGTCTGAAAAAAAATAAATACAAAGTTCATATACCATATTCAAAATATTCTTAGATATTAAATTTGCAATCATAATTATTAAAACAAAAATATCACACAATAATACACCTGAACGTAAGTATCTACTGTGGAGAGCTTCGACAAGGGTGTGGCTTCCCATTGTTTGAAATGGTAAAATAGTTTTACGCCTTCAAGACTTACATTTTTATGAAATCGACAGTAAACACTAAAAACAAGGCTACCAAGTGAAGCTGTTATGCAAGCTGTATTAACTATTTCATTTCCCAGGACAAACAACAAAATAATTCAAGATCAATTTCAATTAATTTCAAATTGCCGATGGATTCAAAATGGCGGACATTTTCGAGTTTCAGATTTTCACCTAAACAGCACAGTCACATGAATATCGGTCCCCCAAACGTACCAAAATACATCCCATGTAGTTCACACATCGTTGTCTTTAATAAATGAAGGTCTTATTTGAAAGGCATGTGAAATTGAAAGGGAAATCAACGGCCTAAAAATCACGAACTTAGAGGCACATACCTGTTAGGAGCGAAGAAATCTATTAGTCGGCGACACTTCCTTGCTTTAACCTTCACCGCTTCTTCTCTTTTCCATTTGATTCTTTCCTTGGTAGGCATTGTGATTTGTAAAGCGAATTAAACACATTTGACTTCGCCATGGTTTAAATGCCAATTTCCTAATCATTATCAAAACAATTTGGTGTCTCCCCTTGAAAGGGAGAGAACTCCGTCCTTAATAAAATCCGGAAAATACACACGGGTTGTTGTAAAATCAAGCACAGCTGGGAAAAAAACTGGGATTGAGGCGAAAAGGGCAGGGCGCAAAAATCAAAGGGCAGGGCGCAGCGCCCTCCTAAATGTGCCTAGGGGGAACACTAGATAGTTGTTTATCATCACAGCCAAGGCGATTCCATGTATTCAAGTATAAATTTCAAGTATTCAAATCCAGTGACAGAAGGATGAAATATGATCCACAGAAGACAAGACACAGATCTTCCTCACAAGATCCTTTACTGTCAGGGGTGGTGGGGTAGTCTAGTGAGTGAGTGAGTGAGTTAATTTTATGCCGCACTCAGCAATATACTGTTTGTGAGTATGCACGAGTAACTAAGAGTCGACAATATAGTGAATGTGGTTTTATGCCGCTTTTAGCAATATTCGAGCAATATCACGGCAGGGAACACCAGAAATGGGCTTCACAAGTTGTACCCATGTGGGGAATCGAACCCGGGCCTTTGGTGTGACGAGCGAACGCTTTAACCACTAGTCTACCCCACCGCCCCTGTAATCATAAAGAGGTAGCAACAGACAACAATCTCAACATCAGCTTCGAATAATCTTGACACTACACTAAAATGGTACCAGCAACATGTCACAAAATGTCAAAACATTTCAGAAAAGTCATAACATAGGTTGATTCAATGTGGAGCATCACTCCTATTATAAGACTGTCTATAGACTCGCCTGCCTATCTGGCACTATTTCTGCAACAAACAAGCTATGACATTACCCGACATTATCAAATGTCATAAATACTGGGGGATTCTCATAACGGCATTACTGTGTATAAACAAACAGCTCCAGGGGATTTATTTTTGTAATTGTGTTTGCCCTTGCATCAATTTCAAAGTCAATGCAAACAGGTTGTTATCTCTTGCTGGAATTACGTATTTGAGGAATAACCGGAGAGATTACACATGCTGCGGCAGTCAGAATTATGTCCAGGATAATGCCACTTATCCTCCCTCACAGGCCCTGAGGGGCGGTGGGGTAGCCTAGTGGTTAAAGCGTTCGCTCGTCACGCTGAAGACCTGGGTTTGATTCCCCACATGGATACAATGTGTGGAGCCCATTTCTGGTGTCACCCGCTGTGATATTTCTGGAATATTGCTAAAAGCGGCATAAAACTAGTTTAACTCACTCATAGGCCCTGAACAATATTTGTTTCTCTTCCCCTCACCATCTCTAACACAAAAGCCATAAATGAAGCAAGTCTAGATTTTCATCAGAATCCACTTCTCCCATCTCAGGGGGGCTCTATTCAATCTAAATTGTGTTATGTTGTTTTATCAAAATTCTATATCTTTTTACTCTAAGTATTAGTCTACATGTAACTGGGTAAAAAAGTTCCAGGGATTATTTGTTTGAAGATTTTAATTGCGCGAAAGACTTCAGAGAAACTAAGATGTTCACACAAGTAAAATCATCACCAACAGAATGATACTGATATCACCATTGGAGTAGACTGACCCCAGACATATTCTTGTGCATATTTCTCAGCCACTTTTGAGCTAGATTGACACATAGTTTCTGAAAATATATAATTTTGACAGCCACAAACAACTCCCATATTGAAAAGGAGCCCCAGTGAGGGGATGTTCTGGACCAGTGGACAAATCAGACTTCGTGTACAGTATAGTGTTACAGTAAGAGCAGGACAGAAGGGAAACTGATATGGGTCTGGGAGACAGACTAAATTTACCCCTTATATATGAGCTGTCGGGAGCTATCGTTAATAGTTCAGAAGGAAATTGTGACAAATCCTGCTCCATGTCAGTGGACTGAATTTAGCTGAATTTAAATCTCATAATTGATGATTGGTTTATTACAACCGATCGATCATCGAAAATAATTGGTTAGCGTCATTAATAAATTTTCCTGGTTATGTTTGTTAATGTACAAAAAAGAAAGAAAAAACTTGTTCTTTCGTGTGTGTTTTTGCAAACTGCACAAAATGCATTTGCAAATTTCACATTTTTAAAGGATGACTAGTATGTTAGGAACATGAATTGCATGGAGTCTTTAAAATAATTTCAATCATGAATTGGAAGAGCTTGTAGTGCTAATGACTGACTGACTGAGTTTGGTTTTACGCCGCTTTTAGCAATATTCCAGCAACATCACGGCGGGGGACACCAGAAATTGTAGTGCTAATGAAATGTAACAGACAAAACCAACCTTGTGAAAAATATTGTTATTGCAAACAGGTGTTCCAAAATTGTTTGTGTTCAGTTATGAGAAAACATGATCGATTGCTTGGTCGTTTTGTCCTTAAGACCAATCTTCGATTATTTCAATTAATCGGACCACCACTAATTGTATATACCAAATTTGCAGTGAATTTATAACCTCAAAAACACAGATACAATGTCTAACTTTCACACAGGTCAAAAACTGGCAAATTGGCAATACATAATGCAGCATTGTCCCCAAATGTAAGAGAAGGAAAGCATTGGCTCTTGAGGCAGCCTTGAAACAATAAGAAGATCTTGACAAGGGACACAACTCCAATAAACTGAAGATCTTGACAAATAAGGCACAAAAGTCCCAATGTATCAAACTTAAAGCCAAATCTCCCCAAATCCTCTCTCATCATTGGCTCAACAACTTATTCTGTACACATAATTCAAGCCACTTGTTTCAAAGGGGCAACATCAGTCTACATTATTCCTATGAAGGGCAAGACATGAACTACAATCAGCCCTGATCATGTACATTGTATGAACTCTGCAAAGATACTCGAGATTGTCTCAAGTCAGGTGTCTTAAGTATTCAGGTAATAAAAACAGTCCCATGTACAGATCTGTGTGATAAAGGTATCCGGTTAACTCTGCTGGAGTCCACTTCCAAACCTACTTCACATCTATCCAGTATACATATTTACCTTGGAAGGTACACACACTGAGGGTGAAGTTGAGGTTACAAAGCAACACTGATGGAACTCATCTGCACGATCATAACAGGAAAACATATCCATTTTAATAGTGATGTTATATATTGGTGGTCCAATTAATTGAAATAATCGAAGATTGTTCGCAGTGACTAAACGACCAAGCAATCGATCATGTTTTCTCATAATCGAACACAAACAATTCTAGAACACTTGTTTTCATTAACAGTATTTTTCACTAGGTTGGTTTTGTCTGTTACATTTCATAAGCACTACAAGCTCGTTCCAAGTCATGATTGAATTTATCTTAAAGACTCTAAGAAATTTATGTTCCTCCATACTAGTCATCCTTTAAAGATGTGAAATTTTGCCCAAAAAAAACCCCAAAGAACTTCATGTTTTTTTCCTTATCTTTTTGTGCATTAACACATTTCATAAATGACGCTTACCAATTATTTTCGATGATTGATCGGTTGTAATGAACCAATCATCAATTATGAGATTTTAACCAATTCCCAACACTAATGTTATACATGACCTTTGGAGACATACCTTGACTATGCGGATGAGTAAGCGAGTTTTGTTTTATGCCACTTTTGTCGAGCTAGGGGATATACGAAATGGGCTTCATACATTGTACTGATGTGGGGAATTGAAAATGGGTCTTACGCATGACAAGCAAACACTTTAACCATTAGGCAACCCCACAATGCATAATTTGTTTGGACCCACAGCATTCGAGGTCTTTTTTTTTGTGATACCAGAGTTGTTTCCCTTTGTTCTCACCTTCAGGGTCAAGAAGTCTGGTAACTCCATATTCCCTCTCATACAATCGGAAAGCTGTCTCAAGGTTCTGTTTGTTGCTGCAATGTCTGGCTTTCCGGAAGTCCACCAAATCTGGTCTGGAAACCAAGTCATGTATCTTAGTCATGGCTTATGTTAATAATAATGTTATTAGGGTCAAGTCATTTCACAAAGTTTTCTACAGACCCTAGCAGAAAGTATTCTTAAGTGTACAAAAAAATAACAAACATTTGAAATACAAAACACAATATTTACCCAAAGATAATAAAAAACACTTGAACAGGAATATAAAAAAATCAGAAAATTGACAATTCCTGTTGAATAACTGCATGTCTAGACTTCATTTTAAACACTGCATTAAGTCATCATATGATAAGCATGAGATAAACACAACGGACATCTTAGTTTATTTTCATTTTAACACAAGCTATACAAACCTCAACAACCACGTGCTTATCAAATAAAAACAAACCCCTGAGTCTGTTTATTCATAAAACTTTCTATCAGATTTGAAATATCTCCTGAACCTAAACAGTCACAGCTTTTATGTAAACAAAAAAAGAAAATACGTAAATTAACATCCCCAGAACCCCCAAAACATGTGAAAAGCAAACAAATTAAATTCCTCGTGAGACATTACAGTGCAATATAGATAACTATCTACTTAGAACAGTCATTAAACTTCAACATGCCACCAAAACTGACAATATTACTGAAGAAAATGATTAACAAAATTAGCAGAAAAGGCTCACAAATCAGTAATTTTAGGTAAACAGTTTACATGAATCACAATTCAAGATGTTCAGGGAAGAGATACAGCAGTGAGGCCTTGTTAAAAAAAGTGTTTTTTATCTGGTTGGCTTTGAGCCGAGATGGGGAGATGCAAATCTAAGCAGACACCTATCCCGGGAGGATGTGATGAGGATGACTGTGATATGCAGCTAGGAAAATACTATCAGATACTGGTATTCTCTGCGCCTACGGTGGCCACTGGATCACCTGTTATATGTGAAAGCTGGGAAGTCTTGACTGACTGACTGAGTTTGGTTTTACGCCGCTTTTAGCAATATTCCAGTAATATCACGGCGGGGGACACCAGAAACGGGCTTCACACATTGTACCCATGTGGGGATTCGAACCCGGGTCTTCGGCGTGACGAGCCAACGCTTTAACCACAAGGCTAACCCACCGCCCCAGGAAAGTCTTGACACTTAGGTTAGTGTTATAGATAATCTGTGTTTTGTATTTCAGGTACTGTAAAATTTTGACAAGCTCTTCAGGCCATTGAACATGTACTGAGTTATTGGTCTTAGAAGATAACCAAGTTTGTATTAGAATATATCATGAGCCAATCAGAATCACTAGGACCACAAATGGTGAATGAAATCACACATGAGTGAGTGAGTGAGTGGGTGAGTTTATTTTACGCTGCACTCAGCAATATTCCAGCTATATGGCGGCGGCGGTCTGTAAATAGTCGAGTCTGGACCAGACAATCCAGTGATCAACAGCATGAGCATCAATCAGCGTAATTGGGAACTGATGACATGTGTCAACCAAGTCAGCGAGCCTGACCACCCAATCCCGTTAGTCGCCTCTTACGACAAGCATGGGTTACTGAAGATCAATTCTAACCCGACCTTCACGGGTCTTGGGCCATTGAACATGTATTGAGTTTTTGGTCTTTGAAGATTACCAGGTTTGTATTAGAACATATCATGAGCCAATCAGAATCACCAGGACCACAAATGGTGAAGGAAATCACACATGAAAGTTGAGGGGTCCTTGTCAAAGTTTAAAAGTTAAATAGTTTGATGCTCCTCTAAATGTCAGCTCTTACGACAAGCAGAGGGCGCGCTAGTCCTAGTATGACCTTGAACTACCAAGGTGAGTGTCTAGCTGGTGAAAGATAGCATGAACATAACCCCATACTTTATATACTCTTAAAAATTAGTAGGGGAACCTGAACTTTCAATTTGGATAGGAAGTATAAGCGTTAACAAACTTTTCAAAGACAGACATATCTCTATCACTAACGCAGTAGCCCCATACACGTGCATGGGGTGTCATTCATTTTGACTGTTTTCAAGAACGTCAATAAATCACTGCAGACCATTAAGTTTAACAATCATCTTGCATCACACAGTTGTTAGTGTTTGTTTCTAGCGATTTAAAAATGAAAATCGTTTATACAAATCATCTTGCATCACAAACAACTATGTCATGTTGGAGATGCATTCTCAAAACATTCATTATTATCATTTCCCAATTTTTCAATCTAGTTGACTACTTTCTTTTAAGAGTTAGATTTATTTTGGTCATTGAAACTAACCACCATTGAAGCAGTCATTCCTGTTTGTCTCTGAGAGAGCAATATTCCTGGTTTTTTTAGCAATATTCCAGCAATATCGTGGTATTGTGGCAGGGGACACCAGAAATGGGCTTCACACATTTTACCCATTGGGGGAATTGAACCCGGGTGTTTAGCGTGACGAGCGGATGCTTTAACCATTAGGCTGCCCACTGCCCGTTTCAGCAGGTGGAAGAAAACCAGTGTTTGATGGCACAAGCACTGATCTAGTCAATGTGATGACCAGATGAAATTGTAACAATGTTTTAAATAAAGAATCTGGTACTGTAACTATTTAACCATGTGATCACGAATCAACCAATGACAAAGCATGTCTCACCTGTGTCTGTGTGCAATGGCAAGGAATGCTTTTCCGTCTCTCCAACTTCTCGAAAAGTCTCTGATCTGGACGCCAGGGTATCCTTCCACATGTCTGCGACTCCATAGCAACAAGGCGTCACGTGCTGTGATGTCTTCAGTTTGCCCTGGCACCACAACTTCGGAAATCTGAAACAAGTCATCTTCATTAAAGCAATTTTTGTATCAACAGGGCAGAAAGTTTGTTTTTCTATGCTATTTGGAAATAACACCACAGCATGCAGTCATCTGAAATAAATCTTGTTGAAATTATTAGCAGTTGTGATGGGAACTGGGTACTGCCATAATAATCAGTTTAAAAAAATAAAAGATGCAGGTAAATTGTCAGATATTTTGTCAAATAGGGTTTCCTATCATTTATTACATGCAATTATGTTTTGTGTTTCATGTAATCATGATGTATAAGTGAATAAGTGAGTGAGTTAGATTTAGGACCTTTTTAACATAACTTTAGCCATATCACACTTTAGTAAGATTAATGTGATGCCTGATGTTGGACAAATACCACTCTGAATGCATTGAAGTAGTGCTGAGATACCAAGCCTAACAGCGAGTGAGACAAATACCACTTTGAATGCATTGAAGTAGTGCTGAGATACCAAGCCTAATAGCCAGTGAGTGAGTGGTGAGTGAGTGAGTGAATTCATAGAATAATGAATATATAATCCCAATAACTCTTTATGTACATATATAACTTCAAACTGGTGAAGCATTGACAACCAAGTATTTAACAGCTGCCAAACGTTATTATCTACCTCAGCAAACTGGACAAGCACAGTGTTTAGAATAAGTGGATGGGTCAACATGACTGATAATTCCACACAGCGAGGCATGTTCAGAACAAGTCGTAACAGAAACGGGTCCTTAATTCTGCAGAATCCTGAATTGTATGAAGCAGGACTATCATTGTAATACTTTACTGATTGCAGAACCTGCAAGATAACCTGTAGAACTTGTCAATGGGGAACAGGAACAGATATTGACATTGGTGCTGACATTTCAAACACAGATGTGTCAACAGCAATTGACCCATTTGTAATATTAGCTACAACATTCCACCTCCGTCTAGAGCCAACAGCTTCTAGGGGGCACTTTGTACAGATTAATGAGCAAATAGTTCTGACATGATGGCCCTCCTTGAAAGATACAAGAAAAACAGCTTGTAACCAACAGCTCAGTTTATAATCAACACTGACAAACATGGAATGTTTTTGCACGAGCAATAAATCATTCACTTCTTGTCCAGCAAAATACATCAATGGAAATGTTGCTTTTGTCTGGTTTTGACCGTTTTGTGGAAATTGATACTGTGATAACATAAACATCACATACAAATGTGAAATATAAATAGACATTAACCAACAGCTGATCAAATTATAGGAAATAGCCTTATTTTCCAAATGGGTGCCAGAGTAAGTTCTAAAAAAACATAATAGTAAAGTGAGTGAGTTTAGTTTTACGCTGCACTCATTAATATTCCAGCTATATGGCGACGGTCTGTAAATAATCGAGTCTGGACCCGACAATCCAGTGATCAACAGCATGAGCACCGATCTACGCAATTGGGAACCGATGACATGTGTCAACCAAGTCAGAGAGCCTGACCACCCCATCCTGTTAGTCGCCTCCTACGACAAGCATGGATTACTGAAGATCAATTCTAGCCCGGATTTTCATAGGTTTGGACAAGAAAAAAACCAGATTTGTCAATATCATGTGACAGTTCAGAGATATTTGCTAGCACCTAACAGTAGGCTTATTGCCTTGTTTAATTATTAGTTGAGTGCTGTTTGGAACTGTAACATCTTCAGGTTATTACTTTAACATTCCTGATCTGAAAGGGCATGTTTTGTTGTCTCAAAAGATATCATTTGGCCTACTTCACATATTGACACAGCAGAATGACAGCTTGTTTTAAAGGTGTAACATGTTTGTGTTGATCAGTCAAGCTCAGGGGGTCCACGTTTATAGTCATTAGGGAATTTGTCTTCATGAATAATTAATTCCTAATTAACTACTAAACACCTGTCAACAGTGTTTTGATGTCAGAGCAATACAACAGTAGTCACTTGGAACAACTGAGCACATCATGGCTGGGTCACTAGAACACATAGATCAATAACATTGCAACATTGTCTTTGAGAGGCTGCTTTGTTAGACTGACTGACTGAGTTTAGTTTTACGCCGCTTTTAGCAATATTCCAGCAATATCACGGCGGGGGACACCAGAAATGGGCTTCACACATTGTAACTCTTGTGTGTAATGGAACCCAGGTCTTTGGCAAACACTTCAACCATGGGACTACGCCAGAACCTCTGCCTGGCCAAAGAAATGTAAGACAAGCTTGGTGTATGGTAATGTATCACACAACCATATAACATGATAGGTTTGACCCTGCAAAGGCAGGGTGCATGGGCAGAACAAGAGAGTGTTTCCAGGCAAACTGACGCTCATTACACCAACTCCCCTGTCCAGTCCCCCCATACATCTCCAGGTGAACTTACCCTCATCATCTACCCCCACCTATCCCCCCACCCTCACCCTATATCTTGTCTAGTCTCCCTAGTACATGCACCTCCAGGTAAACGGATCCCTGATCACTACCCATCCCCTGTCCAGTCCCCCCATACATCTCCAGGTGAACTTACCCTCATCATCTACCCCCACCTATCCCCCACCCTCACCCTATCTCTTGTCTAGTCTCCCTAGTACATGCACCTCCAGGTAAACGGACCCCTGATCACTACCCATCCCCTGTCCAGTCCCCATATATCTCCAGGTGAACTGACCCTCATCATCTACCCCCACCCCCCCTATCTCTTGTCTAGTCTCCCTAGTACATGCACCTCCAGGTAAACGAAACCCTGATCACTACACACCCCTTGTCCAGTCCCCCCCATACATCCCCAGGTAAACTGACAGCCACACCTTGCAAAGCTGCACTCATGAAGATCACTGACACCTGAGAAGATCAGTCCCCTTCAGCATTCAGTATCGATGTCCACCAGGAACAGCTTAGTTACTATAGGCCAGACACAGCAACAGCAGGTGCCCTTTCCTGTCTTCTCTTAACTCAGAGGGAAAGGTCCAGTTTGCAGAGAGTATGTCCATTTTATTTGGAAAGATTTCCTTCTGAGGTACATTTCAGTGTCAGTAACAAGAATTCTTTAAACATCAGCAGAAAACGTCTCTACCATGAAGAAGAGCCTTTCAGGAATATCTCACCGAGAGATTCCATGACAACAGTGGCCAATAATATACTATAAGCCTGGTGGAATCAAACCTGGGCTTTCCGCTTGATGAGGAAATGCATAACAGCTGCAGGCATGCAGGAACACACTACCACATGCACACATGCATGCATTTGGGCACACACTGCACCAGTGTAGGTCTATACCGATATTAGTGAGTGAGTATGGTTTTATGCCACTTTTAGCAACAGTACTGATATTAAACCACCAGGCGACCATGACCGCTGCTCACATGACCTCAATATTCCTCACTGAGATATCACTTTGAACTGCTCTACTAATTTCACTGCTCCAGTAACCTCAACACTATCAGCATAAACAAGACTGTACAGAACTGATATCAATACCATTCCTGAAATTTCAAAGACAACTGCTTTGGCTGATATTATCCTTCATTCCATCTCAAATGACATATACTCCTATGCAATTACAGGTATCATCCAGTGTCAGGTATAGCACAGGTGTTAAAAGTTACGACACAACAGAGTTGTGGGTCAGCCGCCATGTAGAACATAGCATGAGACGGCTGTGCTTCCATGAAAGGATAGTGACCCGTTCCTCTGATTACCTACTACCTGAACCAACTGTAATAGAAGTTTTGTCTACAACACAGGTAGACAACTAAATGAAGGGAGGGATTGCAATCTTGGTCACCTGCCAAAACCATTTATCAATCCATTTGCTAGCCTGCCTATTGACATACCCAAAATCTAAGTAAATGTATATTGCATGTTTTTTAAGCCAAAGTTCAAGACATTATTTGAAACATAGCCAAAAGTTTGAATACATGAGTCAGTGTTTGGTAAAGTTTAATCTTTTTTCAAACATTCAAAATATGTTATCAGTACATGAATCTGACCAGATTTGTTTTGTTAGCGTACTCCTCTCAGGGCCATAGATTTTTTTGAGGCTCTCTCTAGAAAAGATAGTTGGGACAGTGCCATACATTAACATTAACTTACGACTATCTTAGCGCTAAGAGAGCTTCGAAAATCTGGGCCCTGAAATGTTGGGACAGGACCTGTACATGGTGGAAATACGGTAAACCATGGTTATAACAAACTCAATAGCACCACATATTTACTACACAGCAAGTGGCAGGGAGTGAGTGAGTGAGTGAATTTAGTCTTACTCCGCACTCAGCAATATTCCAGCTATATGGCGACGGTCTGTAAATAATCGAGTCTGAGCCAGACAATCCAGTGATCTACAGCATGAGCATTCATCTACGCAATTGGGATACAATAACACGTGTCAAAAAGTCAGCAAACCTGACCACCCGATCCCGTTAGTCCCCTCTTATGACAAGCATGGGTTACTGAAGATCAATTCTAACACGGATCTTCACAGGTTAAATGGCAGGGACCAAAAAACAGTTTTAAAACTTAGTCAGCACCTTAAAAGTATGTTCGTTATAAATGTAATGTACTTTAATTAGTAAAATTTGATTTCATGTTAGAATTAATTATACTATGTTTAGTTTATACCAATAATATCACAGTTCACAATGGGCTCAATAAGCTGCACTAAATCTGGAATTGACCTGGGTCTGTCATAAGAACATAGCTTAACCACATTTCCCTTTCATTACTGAAGATGGACATGAGTGATACATAGCCCTCAAGGTTACTTAAGTTTAGACAAAAACTTCTATACACTAACATGAAAACTAAATAGCCCCGATTAACATGTATCCATGTGCAATACAGACAAACTTGATGTATTCATGTACACTTCAACACTAAGCTCTGCACCTACGTATTGGGATTAATCACAACATTAATCTGACATATTTCACCCAACAATACATGTCAATGTCTGTGATATCTCAGAGAGCCATATCAAGGCAAGACGAGCACCATTTCTGACAATCACAA